TTCACAATAAAACAACAAATAAATATTAATTAAAATACAATAAAAACAGTATAAAAATACAATAAAACCAAATACATACACAAATAATAATATCTTCCAAGATGCTGGTGATCGATAAGATGTTAACATACGGGAACATCTTCAAGGTGCTAGCCACCCCCAGGGTTGGTTGCCCCTTTTCTCGCCCCCTGCCAGTTGGCAGAGCCAGGTCTTGACTGCTTTCTGGAAGGACAAGAGAGTTGGGGCCTGCCTCAACTCTGGGGGAAGGGTATTCCATAGGGCGGGGGCCACAGCAGAGAAGGCTCTTTCTGGACCCCACGAGTCAACATTCCTTCATTGATGGGATCTGCAGAATACCCTCTCTGCTTGACTGGGTGGGATGGGTCAATATAATGGGGGTAAATTTAATTTAAATTTAATTTAAATTTAAAAGTAATTTAATATTTTAGCATCTTACAACTAATCCTTATGAAGAGATTTAAATAAATGTTTAGTCCTAAGAAGGAAAGAATGAGATATATGATATAGTACTCTCTAAATACCTGAAGTATCTGGAAAATGATCAAGATTTCTTTCATCCCAGGATGCAGGATATGGAGCAATAGCAGGATATGGAGCAATAGAACTGTTGCACAAAAGTAGATTCCAATTAAATATAAGAAAAAGCTACCCAGTAGATTAAAAGTGAAAGCAATTACCCAGAGATATGATATATTTGAAGATATTGCTGGAGATGTTCAGACTGAAGTTGAACAACTGTCTAGGAAGGTTGCTTTCATTTATATTCCTGCACTGATAAGGGTTTGGATCCAATGGTCTAATAGCCTTTCCTATACTAAGATTCCAACTGACAAATTGGACAAACTTCTAAAGTTTATTTTCAGACATTTAAGCAGCTGTCCAGACTTTCATCCATTTAAGTTTAACCACTGAACACTTATTTTTTTCAAAATGTATGTTGAGCTAGATACTTTGAAAATGATTAAGTCTGAAGTGGTATAAAGGTCCTGTAAATAAATAAATAAATAAATAAATAAATAAATAAATAAATAAATAAATAAAAAACAACTGAAGAGA